TCAAAATACATATTCACTTTTCAGTTTCATTCTGGCAAGGGCCACTAAGGGTGTGTTCTTGAACTCTGTTAAATTTATATTTTTGAAATGTGGTCAATGTACACACAGTATAACTTTGAAAAGACTATGGATTATTATACCAACTGGAATCTTTTTTTGCAGTTATATAGATTTCTGAAGGACTATTTGTTCATAAGTTCAAAAATCAAAACTTCATTCGGTCAGAACCAGCTTATTTATGAAAGTTCGGGATGATACTTTTATGGATGACCTGCTCTCTGATTGGGCGAAGCAAAATACTCATCTCCTCTCTCAACCAGTAAGAATTCTTCAAATCACAAATAACATGAGTTATTATTGTGGTGCTGCATCAACACCATCACATAAAATGACTACGCCTACATCAGAATCTAAAGAAGACTCTAAAGAAACTTTCCATGAGTTCAGTGTTCCTTCAGCTTTGAATGTACACATTCTAAACTTAGGTTGAATATATGTAATAACCGATATTGATTAACCTGTAATAGCATTCTGTTCAACTGACACTGTATTTTTATTTTCCTACAAATTCATGCATTTGTTGTCCATAACTCTCTGAGCTTTATGGTTTGAATGCTAGTGCGGTTGACTGAAGAAACCTTAAGCAGTGCGTGGTTACTTCAGTATCAAAGTTAAAATGTAATGCTTTTTCCATTGATAAGGATGAAAAAAGTATTTAGATATTTAATAATCCTGGTTTTGAGATAAGTCTAACATAAAACTTAATATTTACAATATGAAATTACTTAATTTGCATATTTAAAATTTGAAAATACCTTTAGTGCAAAGATGCTTATGTTCCATCTTATTTTTTTGTTTAACAATTCAAATAGAGAGAAAGAGACTTAATATAAGTATTAATACAATTAAATCTGTTTTCCTTTGAAATATTTTACTCTGTCAGGGGTCGGCAATGTTTGGCACGCGGCTCGCCAGGGTAAGCACCCTAGCGGGCTGAGCCAGTTTATTTAGCTGCTGATGCGGCAGGTTCGGCCGATTGCGGCCCTCACTGACCGCGGTTCGCCGTCCCGGGCCAATGGGGGCTGCGGGAAGCGGCGCGGGTGAGTGATGTGCTGGCCTCAGCTTCTTGCCGCCCCCATTGGCCCGGGACGGCGAACTGCGGCCAGTGGGGGCCGCGATTGGCCGAACCTGCCACGTCAATAGGTAAATAAACTGGCCGGGCCCGCCAGGGTGCTTACTCTGGCGAGCCGCGTGCCAAACGTTGCTGACCCCTGCTCTATATGGTACATTTGCCTTTTGCCTCCATCTGAACAATGTGAAAAGACAGGATTATTTATTTGTCAGAATATTTTCTTGTCAGGTTCTATTTTCTCTCATGCTGTACACACATGTATGCAATTAGCTGTACACTCTTCCACCGCATTTTACACTTCTAAAAATGCTGTCTGATATGGCTAGCATTTTTCATTTACAATCTGTTATGTTGTCTTCAATCACTTTCCCATACGCTATTATCTTCTAAATGAATCTCTGTAGCACCTCATCAAATGTCTCATGGAAATCTAGATGTGTCAGCTCTATTCCTTTTATCATTTGTCGCTACATTATCTTCAAAAAAAAAAATCAGGTAAATTTGTAATGCAAAGAGAGATTTGTTTGAATGCCTGAGTCATCCTCTTTAAGCCCGCGTGTCTGTAAGTAACTTTCCACTGCTTCCTGCTTAGGCAACTTTAGTAGCTTTGAAACCACAGAGGTTAAGCTAAGTGGCCTGTGATTCCCTGGATCTTATCTCTTTTACTTTAAAGTGGAATGGCATTTGTTACTTCCTAGTCATTAGGAATCTCTCTGTCGTCTGTTAAACTATTAAAGTATCAGTCAGAGTGCATCTGTTTCTTCCATGGGGTTTTTTTTTTTTATTGGAATGCTTTCTGATCTGTAAGGCTGGGGACTCACTTTTAAACGCTGCCTCAGACTCTCATTGTTACTATATATTTTAATGGAGATAGCCTTGTTTTCTCTAATAAAGCCTGGCACTTCTTACCAGGTAAAGAACTGTGCCCTTTTTATTAACAACTAATGTACCAAGAGTGTAAGAATAGCAATAATGATAAACAGTGCTTTCATTTTAACTGAAATAAATCTGGAGCAGTGGAATGACTCTGGATTTACACTGTGTAGCTTTTTCTTATCAGGTGCGGAGCTTGCCAAACCAATTTGCAGCAGCCTCATCAGCCAGATTTAGAGACCTTAGACCACCATCCAATCTGGTCAGAGGGCAGTCGTCAGTGATGTGTGACACTGTCTTTGGCCATAGCCACATGTGGGATCCTCTTGTTGGCCTCAGGTGTGAAGGCTGGCTGCACATTGGGCCTGGCCTACTCAAAATTGATTCAGAAGGACCCATGAATGGTGTGGTAAATCAAAGCCAGGTACACACATGGTCGGTTCAGTTATAAGGCCTGGTCCACACTAACCCCCCACTTCGAACTAAGATACGCAACTTCAGCTACGTGAATAACGTAAGTCGAAGTATCTTAGTTCGAACTTACCGCGGGTCCACACGCGGCAGGCAGGCTCCCCCGTTGACTCCGCGTACTCCTCTCGCGGAGCAGGAGTACCGGCGTCGACGGCGAGCACTTCCAGGATCGATCCCAGAAGATCGATTGCTTACCGCTGGACCCGGAGGTAAGTATAGACGTACCCTAAGAGATTGGTCTGCAGTTGACATCAGAAACCACTCTTCACACCACACTGACATTGCAGAGAAATCTGGGCAGCGTAGGTTGGCTCACAGCGGATGCTTTGACAACAAGCACTTTCTTGGATTCGTCAAAGAGGTCTGTGTATAGCAGTAGGCTTGGGTTTGCCCTAATCTTCAGGCTGTAGCATCCTCATGGCAGATGTATGGAGGAGTGATGTTACTTAACATAGGGAACCAGGGTACTGGTGTGGGTTGAATCATCCCAGTTGCAATGCATGGGTTGAGTGTAGTTGTGTGTCAGCCAACTTGACATGGGATGAATGGGGTCAGACCAGAACAAAGTATTCTGCTGCAGAGTAACAGGACTAAATTGGATGATTGGAGAGTTTGAAAGTTTGTTCCCCATGAAGTGGCAGCCAGGGTTTTTTAGAATGTTAAGTGTCCTCACCTTAGCTGCAGTTTTCCTCAGATGGTTGAGATATGTGAGAGATCTATCTAGGGTTGCTTTGAGGTAGATTGAGTGGAATTCATGTTTCAGGCGATGTCAATCGAGAAAGATATTCAGTTCTTGGTCTGTTCTGGCATTGTGAAGATGGAACACACTCGAAAATGTCTTGATGATACTTGGTTGTAAACACCACTGACTACAGTATTTGGCCCAAGTCAGAGTTTAGGACATCAAGTTCTAGGAATGACCTTGCTTGGACGCCTAAGCAAATGTCATTTGCATATGTGAACATGCAGGACAGGGTGAGCGGAAGGTTATTTTGTGAACAGGTTGAAAAGCATTGGTGCCAGTACAGAGCCTTGTGGTAAATTGTTGGCTTCTTTTCCACACGCGAACTCTGTCTCCCATATGGAAACCTCTGTTGCAGAAAAGATCAACAATGTTGATTACCCATGCTGGGAATGCTCTTGACAATTTGACTAAGAGCCATGTGTTCCACATCATGTCATATGCTGCTGTCAGATCCAGAAATATGGCTCCTGTCTTGAGGTTTTTCCGAAGACAATTTTTGATCAATATTGTCAAAACAGCACTTGATAGCAGGTGCTCCAACCTTTGATCAATATTGTCAAAACAGCACTTGATCGCAGGTGCTCCAACCTTTCCAAAAGCCTGCTTGCTCCGCGCTGAGTATTGAGTCTGTTTCTGGGGAAGGATGAGATGCTTCAGAACTTTGAATGGCACAGACAATGGAGATATGGGTCGATAATTTGCAACATTATGTAGGCTTTTCCCCTGGTTTCAGGAGAGCAATGATTTTTAATATTTGCCATGTCTTCAGAAGTTGCTTTTTGTTGATCACACAGGTGAAGAACTGTGCCAGCCACTGGTGAGCACAAGCCTTGAAGTGCTTCAAGAACTCTGGTGATATGTTGTCATAGTCAGAGCAGTGCTGCTCTTAATATCACTCAGAATTTTGTCTAACTTGGTGGCTGTGAATGGCTGTATTGCCAAGTGGCATTTCTGTGATGGAACTGTCACCATTCATCATAGACTTGTCTGACATGTTTCTCATTTGGGGATTTTGACACATTGATGGTGTAACTGAGAGTAAAGCTTAGCCCATAATTTCCTGCTCTCTTCTATAAACCAGGTAAGGCTGTGATTCCTTTAAGGAGTCCTAGTGACTTTATAAACACATGCAACTACTTTTGCCAGTGGTGAATGTAAAAGGAACAAAGAGAAATTATTGTTAGCTAAGGAACTGTCCATTTCCTAGAGTTCCCCAGGAGCCTGTCATATGAAAATTATTTTTTATTTAGGCTAGTCTTATGAAGCATTAAACTACTGGGAAGATAGGGAAAATCATGTCATGAACTTGCCTCCATGAACAGCCTCAACAAGAGGGTGGGGAAGGGTAATGGTTGAGGAATCAAGCCATAGGTTGCCCCGCCATTTTTATTCCACTGACCTGGAAGTTGGTGTTTGGCTCTTTATTTACTTCTTCTCTGGTCCCACTGCTGTGATGGAATGGGCAGGATTGGACCTTCTACATCTCTTCCAGTCCTGCTGGCAAAGATGTGAGGGATACAGCTCTGAGCTGTGGCCCATCACAGGAGCTGTGAATTGGGCTGTGAATGGTGAAGTCTGCTTCAGGCCCTGGCGAGTTTCTTGTCTTATTGAGCCAGGAGCTGGCCTTGTTTGTTGCTGCTTGTCATTGATTCCTAAACTGACACAGATTGCTGACTGGAGTGTGCCTGGGATAAAGCAGCACTCGCTGTGTGGCCTGCTTTTCTGGCACCCCCAACATGCCACTGTCTCTCAACCTCTACATTTCTCGTCTCTTCATAGATGGCATGATAGCCCCTGATGGAGCAGTGAGTCCAGATTTCTTCAGTGATTATCATCTCCAAAATGGAGACTTAGTCGGGCAACATCCCTTCTCCAGCAGGTAAAGCTCTCTTTTTGGAAAGAGTTTATGTAATCAGAAAATTACTCATTCAGGTTTCTTTTTAATGCTTGATTTACATTTTTTCAACTTGAGTAACTTTTTTTCCGTTCCAAAACACAAGCTTTAATAGGGTTACATTTTAAAAGCATACTTAGGGGAATGATTTACATCAAGAAAGCAGGTTTATGGAAATCATAGATCAAAACTTCATGGTGTTTTGTCACACTGGAGGATCCAGTTTGCCTTTTGAATTATACATTTATTTTAACACATTAATGTACGCATAGTATTTCCTGATAGCTTTCCAAAGGCAATAAAAATGGAATAGAAAACTAAAGCACACAACTCATTACATGTTATGACAATTATTCAAACACTATTCAGGCATCATTGTTTGGAAATGTCTAAGGAGACGTTAGGGGATTTGATTAACTAGCAGAATTGTTTCCAGTATTCTTAAGCTGTTAAAAATAAGTTTCTCAGCTGTCAGGATTGTTTCCTGATTTTATTCAATCTTCCCAGCTAACACTCAGCTTGATTACTGATGTCATATGCTTTGAAAATCTTGTGGATGGGTGAAAGATGTCTGCCTTTTGGCTCGACTAGTAGATTCCTGGAGGTATTGGAGACATTTGTTTAAATTGCCCTTCTATTCTGACCTTTTCTCCTATGTCATCTTAGCAAGCTGTTCCAATTTGGATCTCTTGACTGACTTTGCTCACAAGGTTAAATAAGAAAACTCTCATTTCAGAGAAGATGATCCTTCCTTGTCCTTCATGGCATCTGTAGGAAAGGCTTTATTTTATGTGACATGTATGCCAAATTATGACAGATAGGCATGTGTGACAGTGCGCTCCAATAGAAGGATATACTTCATACGCTGTATGATAATCCTGTGGAATTCCCTTTTACAAGAAGTTATTGAGACATGCTTCCACCCTTTTTTGACTTTTATTTTTTCTTCCCCCAATAATAACTAATAACTTTAGTAGCTTTATGTAAAGTCTGAACAAATCCCAACATGTAGGGCAGTGGTGTAATCTGTTTTGGGTAATTTTGTGATTACTACCTAAAATCATCTGTTGAGAAACAGTTAAGTTGGACTACGTAATTGCTCTCCTTTCCCAAGGAGAACCTCTTAGAAAGCATGTGGGTTTTTTCCCCTTTATACACCTTGCTATCTGAAACCTAACCTGCATGGCTTTTTGACATTGCTCTTTAAGGAGCACTCCAGTTCAGTGCTAGCCTCTTCTGGTTCCTTGCAGCTTGACTGGGGGAGGGATTCTCACCACAGAAATGTCAGCAAGCCCAGCACACACAATGGTTGACAATTAAATGACTTCCCAAGCTTGGCTTTGCTAAGACTGTTTTGCAAAATCTTTTACGTAGTGATGACTTCTTTACTATATATTTTTTAAAAGTGAAAGCACTTGTGATAGACTCTTGTGATTTATTTATTTATTTATTTTAAAATGTATATGTCTATTAAAGCCCATGTGTGATGGAGAAACTGAAGAAAAAGGAAGCCAGATGCAACCCCTGGAGTCTTAGGGTATGTCTATACCACAATCAGGGGGCATGATTGCATGCAGCACATGTAGGCATACCTGACTTGCTTTAATATGGCTAGCTTGGGTACCTGTTGCAGTGAAGCTGTAGTACCATGGACCAGCCCACCTGGAATCCTGGGTAATTGGGCAGCTAGCCTGCGCAGAAGCACATGCTGCTGCTGCTTCACTGCTGTGACACCCAAGCTAGCTCGATTAAAGCTAGCTTGGATGTGCTACACGAGTTGAAATCACATCTCTGATTGGAGGTTAGATGTACTCATGGAGTGTGGTTCACAGCCATTCTCAACTTTAATATGGAGGTATGGCCCTTGGAGATGACAGGGTGCAATTATCCATCTTGAACATCTGGGATCTAGATGGTATGTCAGAGGGAGACAATTCCCAATGGCTGCATGCTCCTATTAAAGATGAAGATGGCTGCGGTCTACTTTGTTTTTGGGAAACTAGGAATAGCCCCATCAATATCCTGTCACTTTGCCAATGAAGCCCTTGGTTGAGGAAAGTTTGAGCATCCTTGAGCTACATTAGATTGCTTAACCTTGGGTTTCAACCTTCTGTCAAAGATGTACGTTTTTAAGGCTTTGAATCTGGTCTCCTTCCAGCTAAAAGGAATGGTAAAATACATAAAATATATTTTAAAAATAAAAAATATTTGTAGAACGTCCTTGTTCGTAACCACAACGCATTAAAGTCCGGGGACCCATTTAAATGAAAAGAATAAATACAACTTGCAAAACTTGGTAACAGCCCTTTGTGCAGGGCGCAGGCAAATACATTCTGATTTCCAATTAGAATTCTCTTTCTGGGAGTGCTTTTCAATATGATTGTCCCTGGAATTATCCGCCATATAGGGAGACAACCTAATTGGAAACAGCATGTACTGTTACAAATGTTCTGTCCCATTTACAATAAGGAGGGTCAGAATTGTTTGCTAGCATAGACACAGGCAGTTGGACAGAGAATCCTAGTTTTCAGACGTGTCATTATCGTTTTGAACTTCTTGGCACCAGGAGCCAGGATTTCCTGATGCTTAGAGCTAATGTAAAATGCATTAGTGCTCCGAGGCATGAGCAACAGAATTGCCAGTCCCATGAGTTTGGAGATTTCAGCCTCCCCAAATTTTAACTGGTATTGGAAGGTAAAGCCATATTTGCTATAGAGCCTAATTAAAAATAATAGCAGCTAGTCAGGGTTCTTTTCATGTATTATATAGTGTACATTTCATCCATACCATAACATAATTCTGTAGTATTTTTATGCTTGCATTTTAAAGCTAACAAGAACCTTATGTTAAGTATTTTTTTTTTTTTTTTTGGATACCAGTTCCAGCTTTTAATAAACCAGAGTTTCTTGTTATAAAAATGGTTCATTTTTCTACTAATTATTGGATAGTTTTCATAAACTAGTTTAGCAAATAGGATGTGAATATTGTAACGGTCCAACTTTTCTTTTTTTTAAATCGTGTTTAGTTGCTAGGAGAAGGAATGGCCAGCTGCTGAAATGATACATATTTCCATGTGCTTTGAGTCTGTTTGCATGAAATATATTTTTATTTGTTGTATTTTCTGACTGGTTTAGATGTTCTAGAATGAATAGGAAGAGTTCAGTTCACTTGATGATGGGGGGTGCTGAGGGAAGGGTCCAGATCTATCAAAATTAAGACCATCCTGTGAAATCTGAGGCAAGTGACAACATTAAGCTGAAACTGAGTCAGTACCACTTGGCTGTGAAGAATCTACATTTTCCTTCTCCTTTCTATAGTAATATCACAGAGACTCTTAAAATTCTACATGTCCTCTTACCATGAGGCTGTTATTTCCTACAATTACAGCATTCTGTACAAAAGTGTAAAGGACATAGACAAAGTCCTTGCCTCAACGAATTTGTAATCTATATAAACCATACAAATCAGATACAAAGGGTTCATTTTTCCATGATTTTGCACCTCTAAGGAGCGCTTACATGCATGATAACAGGCCCAATTGGTATCGGTGCCCATGGTGTAATTGCAAAGGAAGGCCCTACCAAGGCTTAAGTGAGTTGTGGTAGCCAACAGTTACACCTGACCCAAGGGATTTGGTGGCGGCATGGCCAAAGAAATGGGCCCACCATGAAATGTTCAAAGGGGCACAGCTGGGCTCAAGCTGCCACCTCTGCACCAAAAGTTTCCAGCATAAACTGTATCTGATAACTGCAGAAGGTGACCCAACCTACACCGGCTGCGCTGTATCAAATCATTAGACCAGCCTTGTTACAGAGAGCAACCAGAGGCAAAGCAGCATTCATCTGACAACAGTTTGAGGCTGTAGCACACTCCAGCTGAGGGTCAAGGGCAGCCTCTGCCTCTGGAGTATCATCAATAAATTTTCATCAGTACTGTATGAGAAAACACAAGAGGAAACTTGTAAGTCAAAGTAGGGCCCAATGCTGCAGCCACACAGGATGAGCGCAGCCAAACAAATAGCCACTATAAAACAAGTGACTTCCTCTCAGTACTCAACTACCGTGGTCTGGGCTCTGTTACGGGAGACACTGGGGCTGCAGACCTACAGCTGCTGAGGTTCACTTATTCAAATAGGTCAGTTATTGAGCCAAGAGCTTCACTGGAATCCAAACTGGATTAGATACTTATAGACAACCTGGCCCGTGTGCCCTAAGGCATGTCTCATTCTAATGTAAATCCAAGAAATAAATATTAATAGGGACAGCCACAGATCCATTAGATTGGATGAAAAATGTTAAGGGCATAAACTGTCATGGGGTTTCTTGTACTTTCTTCTAAAGCATCTGATACTGACCACTGTCACAGACAGGAATACTGGGCTAGATAGATCAATTCCTATGTCAGAGTATAAAACTCTTTGAAGGGATGCTGTAAATGCTCATACACTAAAATTGGATCACCACCTCCGCTGTATTTTGGGTTGGTCATCTGCTGCCCTCTCTGTCTGTCTCCATCCAGAAGCTTTGGCAAGCAGAACCTTTGTCAATTTCAGTGCCTGTCAGGTTGGAGGAGACAGTGTCAGGACAGCACAGCATCTATTCACTTGTGTCACCATTGTAAAGGAACTCTCACTCCACATTAACATGTGGCAGGTCACCCAGCTAAGAAGTTGGCATCTTAGTAATGTGACAGCCCTGATTATAGGGACCCAATACATTTTGGAAGAGCAGCCTAGAACTAAAGATGGTGCTTTCAGGTAAGTTAGTTTGAGAGCTTGATATCCGGTTGAAAGACCTGTGTTTTCATAGTCATTGAGGTCAAGGCTAGAAGAGACCACCAGATCATCTGACCTCCTGCATACCACAGGCCATTAGCACCACCCAGCCACCCCCACACCAAGCCAACAACCAGAATTGAATCTAAGGCCAGGTCTACACTACCGAGGTAAATCGATCTAAGCTATGCTACTCCAGTTACGGGAACAC